CACTGGAGTTTTTGTGCTTCCGACTCGGAGCCGACTGGTGAATGTGTTACCATGCATTCTCAGAATAATGGTGTGTTCCGACAACTGGTGACATGTTGGCATCGGCTGGTACAACTTCCCAACTCTCACATGCAGGACGAGCTACCTTCTAGTCCGGCTTTAATTTGGACTTTTTGCAGCCCAGTGTCGGTCATACAGTAGGACGCATCATTGCTGTAAAGCAAAAGAAATTTCCTGTACCGATTCTGGAACGATCTCAATTCAAAAGAGGAAACAAATATGTTGCAGTATTTTCAGCGGATGTACTCTACATGCCTGGCATGTTCATTGTACCTCAAACGCAGCACGTTTACGCATATTTATGCCAAAAATAGTTTTAGCATCTTTGCGCCTACATATATGTAACAGTACGTAAATACGAGCCAATCCGTTGTACAATTTTCATGCCGATTGGGCCTCCGACTGTGTGCCTCAGATCCTCAAATTAAACACAGCTGTTCTTTCACTGCGGTGCCTAGTGCCTTTATGAACTGCAATGAACAAATCATGGAGACTGCTTTTGTCGGGCAAGCCAGCGATCTGACGGCTGCCTGCTTGGTTTCAAACGCAACATTTCCTGAATGGATGAACCGCGGGTCATTGTTCTAGACCCCAGTCAGAGCGAGGTGCGCCTCCCACGCGTTCGAACACATTGCGCAGCCACAACGCCCGCACACGCTTCCGCCCTCGGCACAGGCGCCCCACCTTTGGAGGACGACAGGTTGTAGCACTGTTGCAGCGACCTGGCGGCAGACTGGCAGACGCTTCGAGGGAGCTTCTAGTGCAGCTCCCGCTGACACGGTTCAATATCGTGCCGTCCCTTGCCGCGGGAGTGGGGCAGCGCGCCGCTAAGCCAATGAAAGCAGCGGAGGGGGTCAGAGGGGGTCGTGGGGAGGTGGGCGCTGTCCTTGGTTGCGGTCAAGGACAGTGCGCACACATGCTCCTCTCCTTTTATATGCCCCTACCACAATCACCTAAACTTCTTCAACTGCATTCAGTGACGCTGAGTAGAAGCACGGCCTGGGACAATGCATCCATGGGTTCAATGCCCAAATCAGTTGCCCTGCCCCACGTCGTTGGTCTGCACCAATGGAGAACTTGGCGACCTGGCTTTCGGGGTGTGTTGTGAAAGATCGTTCTGGTTGTAAGGCTGTGCTGATCGTTGGAATCTAATGCTATCTCAGCGTAGCCGTCCACACGACGTGACCACACGTGTTTCCATTTTCCTTTGTTGAATTCCAAACGTGCTACACTGTGAGACGAACAGAGGAGCTCCCCCACGCATCGTGAAGCACAACAGCACCCTTTCCCGGCATGAACCGATGTAGGGTCCCAAACAATGAGAGAGGAAGGAAAACGCCAGTGTCCGATGAGCGTTCGACGTCCTAGGAAGGGCGTCCTAAGCATCAAGGGAGGAAACGTCATGAAGGAAAGACAGGGGTCGTTAGCTAATGTGCCAAATGTCCCAAGTGTCCCAGAATGTACTGAAATGTACCGATGTATGCCACGTTTGATGCCCTGCCCTGTCTGACATTCGGCATCGATCATAACCCCTTCTATTTCCATGTGTGTAGCTGTGCACTGAAATCGTTCCAGTTATCATAACTTACAAAAAAAAAGCACAGGCACGTCGACCAGGCCAGCCTTGCCAATCATGCCATGGACTGAGAAGCACCCAACCACCTCCAAACCAATGATGTCTCGAAAATAAACATCGTTCGTGGAGGTTGTCCTCAAGGCTATAGGACTTGCCCAGTGCACAAGGAACCCGTCACAAGCTGATCTGCAAGTGACTGCTCCCCCATCCTTGGGAATGCTGCTGGGATGCCAAGCCAGGACAACAAAGCCTCGACTCCCCTGCCTGGTGCTCAGTACCCTTTGCATCATCAGCCGCCCTCAACAATAGTCCCATCAACATTCAGTTGCCAATGCATATGCCAATGGCCAGCACAAGAAAAAGGAACTAGCGCCCAACATCGCCTGACAGGAGTCTTGGCAATTCCACCCTTTAAAGGGCCCAAAGAAGGCAGTGGTAGAAAGCAGCGGCTGAGGAATCAGAGCAGGTGTCACGGTATCCGCACTGCAAGCAGTTGCGTCCCCATCCTGTCCTGCGTCCGCAGACGCTCACAATGAAGAGAAACATATCACGAGCCAAACAGGCACGTGAGTGACCAGTCAGTGAGCAGTGGTCCAGGTTTGTCCAGATGTGCAACCACCGCGCATAGATAACTGTACCAATACTGTGCATGATGAAACTGGAGAGTGGCAACATTTACACGCCACAAGAATTGCGTTGCCAGGAAAGCGATCAATCCACCATCACATCTTGCAAGCTGTTGCAGGTGGGTTGTGCACTGATGAGAAGATGCGTGGTGTGCCCTGCACACCGCTTTTGGGCACAGCATTGAAACGACCTCCCACTTTACAGTTGGGCATGCCTGCGGACTGTTACGCTGTTCCAGGGCATGCCCATCGCATTGTCTGGAAGATACGTTTGCAAGGAATTGATGGGCAATCAATAGAATTGGCGGCAATGAATGCTACAGACACCCACAACATCTTCAAGTTGCACACCACAGAATACTGCTGGGCAAACTTGGCAAGCCTGAAAGTTTTACAATTGTGTTGCGGCCGTGCCCAACAGCAGCATTGGGCACTGCTGTTCAGACAGCATGCGTAACTGCCACATCGACCCACCAAGGGCATGCCACAGCCAGGTGTCAAGATGCACCGCAGTGACCTTTCTTGGCAAAGCAGCAGGCAACCCAGGCCTTGCTTTATTGTTGTCGAGCCGCTCGAGGCCCAGTGTGGACACACGGAATCCAGACGTGAATGTAAGCCGCATCCCCCAAGGTCCCAGTCCATCGCAGCAACGATCAAAGTGCATCGGCTTCCAGCTGTTTGGCAGAGGCGATCCTGTGCGGACTTCGCTGTTATCCCTGCCAAACACATCAGGTCCCCTGCCTCCTCTGGAGGGCATTCGCCACTTGCAGCTTGTCTTGGGCTTCAATTGGTCCAACAGTAGCATCTGATGTTTGGCACCAAATGGACTAGAGAGCTGACCTCAGGGTTCACTCCGGTCTCACAAAGACACACAAGGACGGCCAAAGTATCCCTTCAGACACGTACGCACGCAGCACACAACTGAGCACTTCAACTAGCAACACTAGAAGGCAAAGCACTGCAACTGTCAGGACGGCATCTTGTCCCTCAAACTAGGGCGACGACGTGAAATCAAAAAAGGGAGTCAAAGCGGAAAAGGACAACGAGGATCCCGCCAGTTTCAGTGAAACCCCCGCCACTCCCTAAGCCGCGCAGGCGGCACCGCCTGCTTCGGAGTCTATGAGCTACCAACACCCAGTGGGAATGTCCGTCCGTGGCTGGGGCCCCAGCTTGACGTCCCAGCGCATCCGAGGCCCAACCACCGCATGCGTATGTGCCACACTCACGGATCGTGACGGCATCCAGTGCGCAAGCAATACCATTCCCAGACAAAAGCTGCAACGCACCAGTATGGGGCCCCTCGTGCCAGCGACCCGCCAATGGGACGCCTTTTGCCCAAGGTTTCGCCATCCGGCCAATCCAGAGCACTGGGCGGCTCGGGGGCGCGCATACCGACGGCCTGGCGAGCCTGGAACCGCAAACAGGAGCGCAGGCCCTCCCAGGCAGCCCCCCACAAACACTACGACTTCGAACAGACACGGGCGCCGCTGTGGCGACCGTGATTGCAGCCAACCCAAGGCCCGCCTCTCTGCGTTGCGAGTTCCCGTTCATACCGCACCTCTCCAGTCCGGCGTCCAGCAGCTGAGAGATGCCAAGGAGGGCTGCGCCATGCGGCACCAACGGGTCCGCGAATTGCGGTGGGCGCCTTTTGCTTGGGCGCTTGACGTCTTGGGTACTCACCGCCCAGCGCCTCCCGCGCCTTCTGGACAGAGGTCGGGTCCGTGCGCAAGTGGGCAGGGGCAGGTTTGCCTGGTCCTCCTGTAGGAACCGCGCGGGCTCTCGCAGTGGCCGGGCGCGGGCGCGGACAGGGGCATCAGCGACGGATGTGCACACCCTTTGTTTCTGGGCGCAGTCCCCATTCATCATATGGGCATCATCTTCGATGGGCGACCATTCGCATGTGAATGCGATGCTGTGCCGGTGCAAAAGAACTGCAGCACGGCTGGCCGGCCCCTCGGGGCATAAAACTACTGGCTGCACCAAATCGGTGACTTCCTGCACTTCGTCAGTGACTGCTTGCCATTCTCGTATTTTTCAATGTCGCAATGCAAAAGTACTCTTTGCTACAGTTCCAGCTCGACAGCTTGCGAACACACTTCGTTTGATGTATTGCCATCGATTATCACTTCTAGGCATCGAAATTTCATAGTTCATACATTTAGTTTGTATTCTCCTTAGATTCCGATGAACCAATCACCGACTCTGCTTTGCTCAGGCAAAATAGGAAGCTGACGGCTACCTCATTGCCTTGTTCTGTAAAAAATCATGATGATGATGATGATGATGACTGCTTGCACCAACTCCCTCCAAAACTTACCTAACCTAAGACCTAAACCCTAAACACCGAAACCAAACCTGCCCTAAACCTAAATCTAACCCTAAAACTCACCTTAAAACTAAACTGAAATCTAAAACTAAGGTTAGGACATAGTGTGCATGTGATTTGGTGCAAGCAGTCACCGATTTGGTGCAGGCAGTAATATTATTTCGCCCCTCGGAGGGTGCCCGTTGGCCCAGTCACACGGTCTTTTGCCCCTTGCCTTCGCCGTCGATGGTTTTGGCATGAACCCCATTGCCTTTTACACGAACGTCGTTTTTGTACATAGCGATCACCTCGTGCGTTTTCCATGCGTTCTGGCAGGCCAACCTGCTCGAAAGCCGCCACCCAAATCGAACATTCCACCGGCCGCCCCAGCTACTCTGGCTTGGCCAACTCCCAATGAAATGACTTGACCTTCCCCCGTCCGTGCTAATCCCGCAACTAATGCCAATTACTCCCAAATTCCCAACTGCAAACCTCTAGGCCAGCACCCTGGGCCCGTCCGCCCGCCGACGTTCCTAGGGTCCCTGCCCGCTACCCATTTCCCTCACTCGTTCCTCTACAGCCTCTGCCGGAGCTCCCTCCGGCTGCCCCACTAACTATGCGCCCCATTGCCATTCGTTCACAGCCGTTCCCGATATCATCTCAGAGTGCCGTTCCAACGCCCCGTCCCCGCAGTGACGCCACACATTTTGATAACAGCCGTGCCGTTGTCGAGGCAGCCTCACGATTTTTATCTATGCGCGTTTGGCACTCAATTGGCTGCTTGGATGCACGACCTCGCCACCCGTTATGGCCGAGGCATGCCACAAGGGCAAGACGGGGGGCAAAGGTGCATCGCAAAAATGTCGCCGCCCTCGCCAAGGCGCATGGGAACATTTTGCGCAAACGCAGAGCAGCTACATCAAATGCTGACCGTTCAAAGCAGGAAAGGCCGTGGATGGAAGAATAGGAGGAGGAGGAGGAGCTTACAAACAGGCAAAATGCTTTTGCGTTCCCCAGAAATGGTGATAGATTGACGTCCGTGGAAATGGCAGAAATATGGGTGACGAAATGGGAGCGCTGTCTGACGCGTGCAGCCAGGGATGGTGGCTCGTCTGACGGGAAGTTATGCGTTGCTTGCGCTGCATCATTTTGGTAGCCTGGCGTGTGAAGGGCAACCAAATTGGTTACTGAACAAAGCACTGGCTCTCTGCGATTGCTTTCTTGCCTCGAACTTTGCAAGTCTAAAGGGCGGGGACTATATGCACAATATACAGGGATATAGATGTCAACGAGGTATGCTGTCCGGCGTTGCTCAATGCATTCAAAGGGACTGTTGTTTTCAATCAACCAAAGAGACTACCATTGTTCATGGGGGGCGCTCTCAAGCATTGCCATGGTGATGGCAACAGAAACTCACACACGCGCGCGCGGAGGAGGCGCAGCGGCGGACGCCCGTGCACCAAGCGGGCTCACCCGCATTCCTGCCAATCATGTTTTTGTATTTTGACATGCTCACACCTTCCGAAACTGATTGTACCCTGCCTTTGCGCAATGGCATAAGACTGAATCCCTGATGCGCTGCTGCAAACCTAATCAAACAGAGCACTCGATGGGATCCACCGTTTGCGCACTTTTTCGCTTATGTGAGCGGCTGGGCTCAGAATTCCTAATGGTGTTCCCCCAACCGAATCACAATTGCTCAGATTCAGGGTATGGGGCGCAGTTTTGTGTCCATTGCCAATGTCTGTGAGCTGTCCGTTGCCGAAGGTTCCGCCGTGCCACTGAAGCGCATTAAAAAAACGGCGGTAGAAAACCATCCCCTGCCACTGGCTGCACTGTTGACGACAGCCTTGCTCCAAGATTCGTGCATATTGGCGCTCGACAAGTCGATTGCAAAGGTGGATTTGGATATGGACAGGCATATCCGAGGCAACCGGCAATCGCTTCTTGAATGCGCAATGGGCGACTTTACAAGTTGGTACTTGGTGGTCCACAAAGCGGCGTTGTTTCCCCTAAGAATACACAGAAGAATTGGCTGCAGGCTGGTCCACGGGAATGCGTGTCCCTCCGCCAATTGGTCCCTGGAGTTGCGTCTGCTGATGCTGGCAATCGCGTGTCGCATGCCGCAGCAGCGGGCTTCATGGGGCACCGAAGGGCCATCCCCCTTGGTCGCTTGTTCGCCCTCCTTTTGTGGCGCCTCCAGGGTCCTCGGTGCAGGCCTGCCACATGCGACGGGAAAACTTGAAAATTGCCCTGTACCTGGTGTTCACACGCCTCACACAGGGCACTATTTGGGAAGCACAAATATGGCAACTTCCTGGGTGGCCTACGCATGGGCTTCGGAGATTGAAAAGGCGTCAGCTTCACGCGTTGTATCGACCAGACTTTCGGGCTGTGATAAATGCGCATCAAGCCACCAGCGATTTCCCTCTTTTGTGAGTAGCCAGCTGGGGTGACCCTTGCACTAGCCCCATGGTTTTCATCAAGCCAACCTTCGCTATGTTGTTGGTAAGATGTCGCGGACAAACGCGCCAGCTGCGCAGTGCAGCAGCTGTGTCGACCTTCAGCTTTTCTCACAAAAACCCTTGTTTGAAGGATTTCCGAGGCGCCAAACGGTGCCCAAGCCAGATTGTGGTCAGTGCATGTGAGTGACTAGGTCTCACCAGTGCCGAATGGGCCCAGAGTGGTTACGATGACATTTTCCGAAGAAGCGAGGTTGGCTCCTTCAGTCTTGAGTCCTCAGTCTGCAAAGTTGCTTCGTGAAGTGGGCACCCATGCAGAATGTGGGTGGCGCACCCGTCGCTTCTGGCGCTGCCGCGGCTTGGTGAGCCCCGGTTGGCTTGCTTGATCCTCTTGGTGCGCTGTCCGTGTGAGGCTCTTGATCTAGAGGTAGTTGGTGTTGCCTTCCACCTCTGGCCAGCGGGCATTGCTTAACATTAACATACAGCGATGCGCAACGTTAAACAATGTGAATGCTCACGCCCAAGTGCTGAGCTCAAATGTTGCAGAGTTTTGGGAATGTTCAATACAGGTGAAGCCTTGATGGTCCAATTATCTATTGCTGTGGCCCCCTCGCCCCGCTCCCCCCCCCAAACATACACAAAGAAAAGAAAAGCCGATTTTGCAGTTTGTTCTTGGCTCAGCTCGGCATGCAGGTGGCGCCTTGATGGCCGCATTATGCCTCACAGGTGGCGTGCAGTAAACCTTTGAAGTCCATTGCGCATGGCATTACCGCTGAAACTTTTCCAATGAAACAACAGAAGCCCTGTTTTGAGAAAAGCCTGTCCAGAGCACAGCTCCTTGCAATTATTTTTTGGCACCATTTTTTTCTAAAAGCGTTGCCACAACGCTGTCAGTGCTGGTACATGAAAACTCTCTTTGTACTGCCCCAAATTGGGCGAGGCTGCGCATCAGGGCTGGTGCAGGATTGGGCGTCAAGACACGCCCACTCGCTGCATAGGTCCTTGGCATCTCCGTGCATCAACGATCGTCGATGCAAT